CAAAAAAAACCCCACACCAATAAAACAATAAAAAATATCAGTAAAAAGAGTTAAACAGCTATGTGAAACATTACCTTTTTCTTAAATGAACAATAAGCTAAAAAATAAGGTTGAAGCACATGTCAACATTCTATACATCTGGGAAAGCTTGTCTAAATCAAATTGGTTTTAGCCCACATTGAAAAGGGTCCAGTGAAGGTGCCTGCTTGGTGTCAAAGGGCAGGGAGTTCCAGAGTGTGGGTGCTGCCACACTGAAAGACTGATTTCTTACAAATGCAGAACGAGTATTATGCGGCAACAGATCAAAGCAGAAAAATGGCCATAAATGGGGTAACTCTCTTTTGAACTATAACCTCTCCCTAAAGAGCAATAAAGGACTGTTCCTAATGCCTCCTCAACTACTCTGGTAAAGCCTCAAAGTTGTTGTTTAGTCGTGTCCGACTATTTGTGACCCCATGGACCAGAGCACGCCAGGCACTCCCATCTTCCACTGCCTCCCGCAGTTTGGTCAAACTCATGTTAGTAGCTTTGAGAACACTGTCCAACCATCTCGTCTTCTGTTGTTCCCTTCTCCTTGTGGCCTCAATCTTTCCCAGCATCAGGGTCTTTTCCAGGGAGTCTTCTCTTCTCTTGATGTGGCCAAAGTATTGGAGCCTCAGCTTCAGGATCTGTCCTTCCAGTGAGCACTCAGGGCTGATTTCCTGAAGAATGGATAGGTTTGATCTTATTGCAGTCCATGGGACTCTCAAGAGCACCGTAATTCAAAAGCATATGATTTGGAGGCTTTCCTCTCTTTTTGCTACCTGTGTTTAGTGCTGCACCCTTTTCTTCTTCATCCCCTAGTTCCTCCTCTCTTGACCAGGACTACAAGATTCAAACCCACATTCCAGATGAATAGCTTGTGTTGCTTCTCAGTGAGGTTAAAAAGTCCACCCCACTTTTTCCTCCCCTTAACATGCTGACAGTATTTTATTACAGGAAATAAAATTATAATCATTATCCCACACTGAATTAAGGAGTAATGCTATATCATGTTATGGGGAAAAGGAAAGAATGGATTACTGTGTCATGTTTTGATACGGATGCAAAAACCTACTCAGTGACGCTCTGATGAGTCAGTTCAGTGGGTGGGAGATGATTTTATGTAATAACAGTATCGTTCATTTTCTCTGCTCGCAGTTACCTGGCAGCACACTTCCACTGCTCAGCAACCAGTGAGTCAGGGATGTGTACACAACCGAAATGGGTTATATCTCAAAACGTTGACATATGTAATCCAAATCTGCAGCTGGAGTAACCTTTGTATCTGAGGATTTCGAACTTCTTTCTGAACAGCTGATCACATGAGAGAGATTTTCAAAAGGCAAACGAGAATGTGTTTGTTCATGGTTCTCTTCCCTTTTTTTCTAAGAAGATCAAAATGCAAAAACAACATCAAGTGAGATTTCCAGAAGAACATTGCCGCATGGAGTTTTGTTCAGGATTCCGGATACCCCATTTAATTCTGCCCCTCCACCACCACTTCCCCACTCCTTCAGTCCCGCCTCCCCCCTCTCCTAGCAGTCAGTCAGCATTCCATAGTCACTGGACATGCTCAGTCCTGGGCTGTTCTCTGACGCCCTACTCTCCCCCTCAGTCCCCCCCCCCTGCAGTCCTGCAAACCTTGCAGTTCCTCTCTAAGCCATGGGTAGGCAAGCTAAGGCCTGGGGGCCGGATCTGGCCCAATTGCCTTTTAAATCCCGTCTGCGGACGGTCCGGGAATCAGCATGTTTTTACATGAGTAGAATGTGTGCTTTTATTTAAAATGCATCTCTGGGTTATTTGTGGGGCATAGGAATTCGTTCTTTTTTTTTCTTTTCCAAAATATAGTCTGGCCCCCCACAAAGTCTAAGGGACAGTGGACCGGCCCCCGGCTGAAAAAGTTTGCTGACCCTGCTCTAAGCCTTCTGATACCCTCTCTCTCCCCATTCTCTCTCTCTCTGTTTGTGAGTGTAGCACCATTCTAGCGACATTGCCACTAAACTAAACATCAGCATTTGGGTCTCTGAGACAAAACCTTGTACTATACTGCAGAGTGCTTCTGTTCAGAGCTCTAGACATTTTGTTCCTCTTCCTCCCCTCTTCTCTGTTTTCCCTTCACAACAGCCGGTCTGTACCCTGTGCATACTAAACATACTCAATCATCACAGAATCAGATAATTGTTGGAAGGAACCCCAAAAATCATCTATTCCAACCCCCTGCAATGCAGGAATCACTAAAGAATCGCTGGTGGATAACCATCCACCCTCTGTTTAAAAACCTCCAATAAAGGAGAGTCCATCAGCTTCTGAAACAGCCCATTCCACTGACAAGCTACTCTCATTTGCTTGGGGAAGGGTTGGCTGACGATGAAGTCGGAGCATTCCTGCCCAGTCCCAACTACATTAAAATATTTTGATTTCTTCATTTATGCCTAAGGGCAGCTCTCACTGTGCACGTTTAGAAATAGCTCCTTAGTGTGAACTAGGGAATGACCTATCCAGCGAATGAGGCTATGTATACATTAGTGGCTTAAAACACAGCAAGGTCATTTTTACCCATGTTTTTATATTGCTGTATACACCAGAGAGGAGGCAGAGATGTCTCCACTCAGTGCACACTACCTGGCTTGATTTCCTGCACCAAATTCCTATTCAGTAAAGCTGTCATCAGACCATCTTCCTTTGATGTGTTTTCAGACAGATCATAAGGAAGGGTAATCAATTTTCATCTTCTTTCATTCTCCAACTTCTTCTCTCTGCCTTTCTAACCTTTACAGCTTCTATGAGTTTGACCCTCCCCTCCCCAGAAACACTTAAGCTTCCCAGAACATGGCTGCTCTTGACTCACTGCTACCTCCTTACCACTTCTTCATTTATTTTACCCTCCCTCTCCCTTCAGTAATCTACCTTGTAATTCTCAATAAAGCTTATTTTTTTCCCTGGAAATTTTTCCAGTGTAATCTCTGTTATTCCCTCCTGGGTACCTTGTGATGGGATTCTGTACCCAAACATAGTTCTTAAATTTATGCTATGTTCCTGTATAGTTTGAGATATATTAGTTTCTGGAACAGCTCTACGCAGCAACAGCCTGTCCTCAAGCAAAATGCATCCAAGGCTATCAGAGGGGAAATATTCTGCTGGTGCTAGTAACTTGTATTCCAAAAGGGTTTAGTCCAAGAACATTGAAACGAACTTTCAGACGTGTGCCCTGACCAAGCATGGCAATACACTGAAATCAATTTTTTACATTTTAACTGATTGCTACATGATTAAGTAAGCCCCATCAGTTAATTGTTCAGGCTCTCAGTCTTATCCAGCAAGCTTGCCCTTCCCTCTCCAAATACATCAGGGCGCTGCAGTTTCACAGGCATACCTCAGCCTCCTCCTCTGCTGATTAAGTGTAGTTATTATTTGGAGAGGTGCTTTAAATTGCTTGCAAAGGCCTCTACTAATTAATCAATTAAAGACTGAATCCCTAATAAACAGGCACCAGAGCACCAATTGTTATGCACATATTATACAATGCAAATGAATTTTAGTGAACTGAAGGGCTCTCATGTAAAGGCCATTCTTCTTGAACCAGTTATCCACGCCTTCTATTTTAGAGCTGTATTCCTCATATTTAAAGACTGTGCTTACATAATCAAGATACTGGACACCTATAGTGGACCTACACTGGGGGGGGTGTCCCTGAAGTTTGAACTGTTATAGGGGGCCCCTTCACAACCAGCAACGAGGTCTGGGAAACCACTGTTATCTTCTCCAACTGGGCTGTTCCACAACAGATCACCACAAATTGTGTTTTTGGGTAGCTGCTTAAGTACTTTTGTGACCTCATCGTTATTCCTAGGGTCTAGAGCTCTGTTAAAAACAGGGGTGGGGGGAATACATCAGCCACAACAGAGCAGTTAGTTTACCGCAACATTCCACCTTTACATCTGTGCTACTGACTCTCAGTTTTTTAAAGCAATGTGGATTAAAGTCTTTTATGGGGCCTCTCTGGGAACAGGGGCTCTGAAGAGTGTATCATTCATTTCATAGTAGATCCACCTCTGTCTGTGCTTCACAACTGCATATGACTGTCCACAAATAGAACAATTTGGGAAGTTTTTAATGAGCTATCTCAGATTACAGCTCAGTCAATCCCAATAACTCCAGCATTAGCCTTACTTAATTTATGTACTTCATATATGAACCAATTAAGAAGTAAGGAATTAATAACACAGCAGCTAGAACGGTAATAGAACTTGGAAAACCTTGCAACTAATGAATATTGATCACTGGAATAATAGTCTGGTAAACTGCCATAATGGAAAACCTGTGGCAAAAAATTGAAGGTGGCAAGGAAGAGAGAAAACAATATAATTTTTGCACTGTAGGGTGTGATTTTACTAAATATACAAATGAAACAACACATGGACGAGAAATACCTACAACATATATTGCAATATGGCGCAGACAAGCCGACACTATTCATTAGTTTACTCCTAGTGGTTAGTATTTTACCCCCCTAGTGACCCATTTTTTGTTAGTCGTGTTATTTTATTATTTATGTGTGTGCAGTTTTTTAACAAAAACATCATCATCATCAAAAACAAAAAAACAACTGCTTATGGCCATTCTAGAGCATGTGCCAGCATCCAGAGCTCAATGAACTCCCGTCCCTTTAGGGTTTGAATTCACCGCAGAGAGGGTGGGCAATTGGCCAAAATCTTGTGTACTTCTAGAATCGTTCCTTTTACATTGCAATGGATTAGCACTAACTCATGTATTTAATTAACCAATTCAGCATTAATTAGACAAGGAGACTTCCCTGGGTCTGGGAGGAGAATGTGTTCCAGCCTTAGCACCAAACTGTTCAGTATCATGCCTCCACTTTCAACCGACGTGCCGAAGAGATGTCTTGTTAGGGGGAAAAGAAACAGCCAGTCCCGCTTCTGTATTAATATTAAAGGCAGTATCAGTTCAGGCTCTTTGCACAGCCTTCAGCCCACAGCCTGGCGAGGAGGATTCTAAATTCCCAAGAAATTTGAGGAGGAAAAGGGGATGGGAACAGAGAAAGGGGAAGAAGAAGAAAAACCCTGAAGGGAAAGGAAAGAAGAGGACACGTAATTCTCCTGTTCTTAAGGCAACAGGAGGAGAAGAGGAAAGGGGACGTGAGATAGGAGAGAGCAGAAGCTCCGGCCAGGACTGACAGGGGGCAGCCCTGAGGAGGCGGGGGAAACGGAGGAGGCGGGAAGCGATGGCGCCGCCTCCCGCCGCTCTCCCGCGCCTGGCCGGAGGCTGGGCGAGGAAGGCGGGAGGGCGATGCTGCTCTGGCCGGGCCGCTGACCGCGGTGCTGGCGCGGAGGGGGACGGAGAAGGAGGAGGCCCCGCAGGATGGGCTGCGGCGGGAGCCGAGCCGATGCCATCGAGCCGCGCTACTACGAGAGCTGGACGAGGGAGACCGAGTCCACCTGGCTGACCAACACAGACGCCGAGCCCCAGCAGCCGCTTCCCGCCGCCGCCGCCGCCACTGGCCCGGAGGGCGGCCACGCCGAGGCTGGCCTGAGGGAACCCGGTGAGTAGAGCTCGGGGCTGTGGTGGCGGGAAACGCGAGCGAGGCGGCCCGGGCCCTTCCCGCCTCCTCGCTCGGTCCTCCGCCTCGCTTCCCTCTGGGCTCTTCTCCACAGCCAAAGGTTTGGCCGGAGGAAGCCGAGAGGTGGGCCAGCGAACAGGTGGCGAACACCTCACCTCCCTGTTGGGACATATTTCAGAGAAGTGGCTTTGCATTTCAAGTTCTGTCGTCTGAGCTGCGCTCATGGATTTATTCCTGCAGCCCTTGCTCCTCGTTCAGTGCGGCGGCTTGCAATGCAACCCTATAGGTCCTGCATATTCAGAACAGAAGTGAAGCCACAGTCACGGGTGGGGTTCTTTTGGACCATTATTGTTCTTGCCACTTTTTATTTTTAAGCAGGGAGAAGGGTTAAAACTTTTCCTCCCTGCAACGTAAAGAGGATGCATAGCAATATGCAGCTCTGCTTCACTTACATCTTCATGTAACTTAACCTTATGCCGGTTTCGTGATGTGTTTTGTTTGTTTGGTCCAAGACCTTGTCCGTATTATATAGGATGCTGCTGGTGTGACACTACAGAAAGATCAGGGAGGGACCTTTTGTTGCTGTTGTAAGGAAAGGCTCTTCAATAGTCAGCAAAAGGGAGTTGCTGCTGAAAAGAATCCTGGTACCAGTGCGCAACGAAGGTGGATTGTAGCTTCAGTTCTCTAGATCCTGTGCTTTACCAGTTTGTGCCATGTAGTAAGTGGCACAAGGATTGTCAGGCTTGTTGTGAACAGGGCTTCACATATTTGGATGATCAGGCTGTCGGAAGCAACCTGTCTGATCTATGAATATTCGGATTTAGGGTTGTGCTTTAGTCAAGCTAGCAGTTCATAGTGTTGGAATCATGACTGAATGTTATATATTTCAATTACATGTTGCACATTTTCAGTTGCAAACATATCATCTTTGGTCTCTGTCCATTTAAGATGGATGCTGCTGTGCTTGTGCTTACAAGGATACAAGACAGTCCTAATGCTTAGCCAGCAGCACCATATCAACTTAGCAACGTAGAAGAACATGAAATACTGTAATTAGAACACACTCGCCACAATGCAGGCGGTAGGACTTCTGCACCAGTTATGGCATTGTGCCAAGTCAACTCTCCTAGCAGCTGCTTACTAAAAGCATCAGCAGGAATGCCTTAGCATCTCTGCAGGGTAGGTAGAACTCTTCTTGACCATAACCAGTGAGAGCCTCACAAGCGGGGAATAGAAGATTTGCTCTGTTTTCAGAACTAATGCTGCAGATAAGAGGTTTGCAGTATTAAGAGTTCAAATGTTGTTCACTGAAAACAGCACCACTCGTTTCCTGTCAGCTAACACCAGGCAACATTTTTAATACAGTTCAAAAGAGATAGATGGCTGTCCGAATCATGAAAACATTTGGGTATTTAAGGGGGCTGGACATCTAGGGGCTTGCCCCCCTCCCTTTTGTCCCATGTTTTGAAAGCACGGATCTGAGAGGCTTGCCACTTGTTCCGAAAGCACGAGTCCGAGCAGCTATGCTTTTGCCCCACTGTTTCCCCCTGGAAAACACACTCAGTAGCTCTAAATTGGAACAAACGGTAATCCATGGAAAACGTGATTGCTATTTGTTCCAACTCAGTGCTAAATTATGGGTTTCTCGGGGGGGGGGGGAGCAGCTGGTGAAACAGAAGTGTGGATGAGCCCTAAGATGTCTTCTTTTTTACATTGGCTTTGGAGAATTGCCACTGAGATGCTGCTGTGAGATGGTTTGCTGTAGTTTTAAAGAATGTTTTGTTTTATTGCACTGATATATTACTTTATGAAGTTGTTGTTACCCAGGCTAATATATTTGATTAAGGGTGGGACATATATTTTAAAAATAAATATATGATTAATAAGAGAGCAAGAGTAAGGTTGGCAGAGTTGCATTAGAGACTGGGATGTGTGCATTAAAGCCCTGTTGAATTCCTCATCATTTCATTACATAGTATTTAGTGAAATGGGCTAGGTATCCAGGGGATATTACTGTTATTTATTAATTAACATAGATTTTGCTATGTAAGCTATAATATTTGTCTTTGGAAGTATGCCTTGTTGGTTTCAGAGCAACCCAGCAGCAAGCTCTCTGCTTATGTTAGGGATGTATACATGTGTTTTAAAGTAGTTGATTTTTCCCACCCCAGTCAAATCACTGTGAATGTGTACATGATAGCTGGTCAGCCATATGACCAGTTTAGAGGTGTGCCTGTAATAGATTATGTGGATTTTTATGCACAATCCATCATGAACGTCCTGGTGGAATTGCTTACCATGCAGATTTAAAATGGGGGAAAGCCCTCAAAAGAGTTTTGTGAATTGACTCTTTGAAATAACATGCACTTATGGTCACATTCTGCTTAATTTTGGCATGGTGGCGGAGGGGAAGGGGGAGTGTAATACCCAAATGCTATTACATTCCTCCATAAACTGAGAAAATATCATTTGCTGTTGCTAACTAGGACTAAGCTACAATTACCTAGGACATCAGTCTTTGGATCTTCCTATGGGTTTACTTTTATTTTTTGAAATGCAGGTGTAGGGAACAGTCAGTTTGCTTATAGCTGCAGAGCTTCCCCTTATGCCATTTCTTCAACTGAAATCATATTGCTGCTGCAAGCAAGTCCAGCCCCACCTACATTTCAGTCATGTGTAACATGTAGTTTGACATTAACAGAACTCTTCTTTAACCTAAACCTTTTTTAACCTAGAATGAATCCATGGGTTATAACCAATGCTAGTCCTACTCAGAGCAGCCCACTGAAATTAATGAACCACAGTTAGTCATATCTATAGTCTCCAGTGGGTCTACTCTGTGTAGGACTAGCACTGAGCAGGACTAGCATTGATTACAACCTCAAATTTTGTTTGCTCAATTTTTGCCCTCTGATTTTTGTAGCCTCTGTATGCACCACCTATACATTTTTAATATATTTGAGTTTGGTTGTATTTGTTATTGTCTTTGAGTAGGCAATGGTTAAGATTTAGCAGAAGTTAACTACTTGCAAGTCTTATTGTGTTAAGTAGGAGACAGTTTAACCATTCAGCTGAAATCAAAGGGACATAAACATTTATTTATTTTTCTTAGACATTTATATACTCCTTAATTACTTGTATTTCTAAGCAGCGTACATAAAAAAGCAATCCACACAAAATGTGACAATAAAAAAAATATTACTGGTATAAAGCCAAACACCTAAATTTGGCTGGATCTTATCCAATATTATAATTTTCCACTCATTTTTCCTTTCTATTCGTTTTTTCCTCCTCATATTCCCTTTTTATCTTAATTTTCAAACTGTAGCAGAGGGTAATTTTTTCTACATTAAACTGAAAAGAGCAATAATGGCTATAAACAGAGGTTTGAAATACAGAAACTGTAAGACCTTTGCATTAAGTTCACAACAGAATTTAATGTACTCAGTAGTAAGCAACACACTTAAACCCAACGTGGAACTTTTTACCTGTACCAAACAATTGGTGAAGAAGAAATATCCAAAAAACGGTGTAGCGATATCAGTCATCTGGGGTGGGTGGTATGAAAAGGCAAAGCCTTTAAAAGACCAACAACGGTGCTATACTTTTGTGAATGGTCTCAAAAAAATGGAGGGGGGACAATTTAGCAGTAGTTCAAGTTGTTCCTAAAAGCTTCCATTGAAAGAGAAAATGTAGCATGAAATCCTCCTTTCACAGACTATTAAAACTAGAAAATTATGTATTGCTGTTTTAAAAGCAGTCTTGTCACTCTAGTTGCTTCATTAGCTTCATCTAGAAAAGCAATCAAAGCAAAACCATTGAACATAATGGTTTTGCATTATCAGAAGTATTATTGACAGTTGGATTAGTTTTCCATAGGCCAGAGATCTGCAATCTCTATAATCACAACCTTTTTAGAGGGAGTTGCTTAGTTGTATAGGATCTATTCCCCCCCCCAAAAAAAAAACACTCTTCTGTTTTAAGGGTATATATATATTTCTGTTTTGAAACAACCTTTTGTTATGGTTATGTATTATAGCTCCTCCCATTGCTCGGTCCCTACTCCTGCCAACCTAGCAGTTCGAAAGCATGTCAAAGTGGTGCTGCTCTGGTGGTACCGCTCTGGCAGGAAGGTAAACGGTGTTTCCATGTGCTGCTCTGGTTTGGCTTAGAAGCGGCCACATGACCTAGAAGCTTTCTGCGGACAAACCATAGCTGTCAACCTCCCCTTTTTGTGGGAAATTCCCTTATTCCATCACCCCTTCCTGCCTGCTATCCTGGATTGTTAGATATCCCGTAGACTGTCCCCGGGACAGGTGAGGCTGCTGATCCCTTATTTTAGAGGCTGCTGAACCCTTATTTTCAAATCTGAAAGTTGACAGCTATGGGACAAATGCTGGCTCCCTTGGCCAGTAAAGCGAGATGAGCGCCGCAACCCCAGAGTCATCCGCGACTGGACCTAACGGTCAGGGGTTCCTTTACCTTTAGTACTTCTAATGCTGTTCCAAGTGCTATGTGGGGGAATATGGGTTTAAAGAGTCACAGATGCATTTTGCATTATGCCCATTATATTGTAAATAGGCAATGACATTTATGCATGCTCCATTTTGGGAAATATTTACTTGCTCATCTTCTATTTTTAAGTGACGTGTGTGTGTGTGTGTGCGCGTGTGTGTCCCCTTCAAGGCTGTACAATTTGCTTGCTGTGCTACCACAGTACTGGAGTGTTTATCCAGAAGTTTGTCATGCTGTTACTTAAACTTAGGCAGATGTACTACCCCAATCACCTGTCCCTATTACCTGTTAAGGAATGTCTACTAGATTATTTATTTCATTTATATTCCATCTTTTTCTCCAAGGAGCTCAAGACTGCATACAACATGTTTCTCCCCTCATTTAATCACCAAAACAACTCTGCAAAGTAGGTTAGGCTGAGTGGCACTGACTGACCAAAGGCCACCTAGTGAGCTTCATGACCAAGTAGAGATTTGAACCCTGGTCTCCAAGGTCATAGTCTAATCACTACACCACACTTGCTCTGATTCTTGCTAGTGGAAGCACTTGCTGTTTGAAGAACTAATATATATCCACCTACATACATAAGGAATCTAAACCAGCACCATCATTGTTTTACTTGACTGCTGTTTTGCCAAAATCCTATAACTAGATGTCAGCTTCATATTACTATATATTTGGAGATGAATGTAGATCACTTCCCCAGTGTAGTACTGTACTTGCAAGTAAACATGTCTCTTACATGCACCTTAAGTTAATAAGATGTGCATGGATTCATCATGCATGTTAAAGAACCCATTACATTGGATTTGCATTGTGTCCAACACTTGTCCATCTCCATGTATCTTCTTCTTCATCATCTTCTTCTTTGAATTTGTTAGTTGCTTTATCTTGCCAAGGCCAACCCAAAGCAACATACAACCAACCAAATGAACAACCCCCTGCCCCACATAGATACATACATGGAGAGCCACCACAGACTTTGGGTTTTGTGTGTTCCTAGCCTTTTATCCCACTTCTAGCACCAGCTCAAGTGCTATGAGAAGATGTTGAAGATTCTCCTTCCCCACCCTTTCTCTGTTTCCTATGAGCAGTCATATATGAGCTCTATCTCTTGTGAAAAACATTTTCTCAGATTATGTAACATTCAGGTAGATTTGTAGGGTTGGGGCAGAACATAGTCTTCTCGTGAAGCTGATATGCAAGTCTCTGTGACTCAGTCTGTTATGGGCTACAGAAGCCAGAGTTCTTAGCTTAACATCTGCCCAAAACTGACAGCATCCCACCATTACTAGGTCACATCATTTGACACTTGTCTTAATACTAATTCACTTGGCCTAGCCCTCTAGGCCACATGTGCAAGGACTATCTGCACTGGGGCATTCTGTGTTCTTGCTTTGGACTAGATAACACCATAAATGAAACTGCTAGAATTTCCCCCCTCTTCCCTGCATTGCAGGTAGGCAGGGGACAACCATGGACTGAGCATGGACATAATATCTAGACTGACGGCAGTCTATGTTTTTGCACAATTTCTTTCTCCAAATCTATGACCACCAGTTACCAAATATGTGTTTGATGCTTATTGAGAGTAAAATATAATATAGTTTATGTGGATGCCACAAGCATGTTACTCTATTCTACAGTAGTCCCCAAGTGACGCCACTTGTACCGAGCAACTCTCCGCCTACAACTTTTATACCTAGACTCAAAATATATGGGACCCCCCTCCAAACACACACACACACACATTTCTTCCATCACCAGCTCCCTCATGAAAGCTTTGAGGGCAGGAAGGTGAGTCCTGACAAATGGAAGGAGCCACCCTTTAATGACAAACCCAATTTCTCTCTCCCATGAAACTGGCATAAGGTGATATATAAATCAAATTAAAAATAACATAAGCATGCACTATGCATCCCAGCTATGCATTTTGCCTTCCGTCTCCATGTTGCCACACAGCCTACCCATCACGGCTTTATTTTAGCATGGCAACAGTGGTGTAGCACAGACTAGTCTGTATGGCAATCTCATGCAGGCGAATGGCTGACCCCATGCAGCATTATTCACTTGGATGCAGTTCTAAGCAGCATCTGTGCAACTCACTTGTGTGAAGCCTCAAACCTCTTGCACAGATGATAAAAAGCATGAAAGGAACGTGCTGTTACTTCAAGACTATTTGTTCTTGAACAGATAAATATGAATGCATACGTAATTTTTACATGTTATTTTTGGTACTTTCCTCCTTTTTTGTTCTTTCCCCTGCAGTTTCTTGGAGTGCATTCTTCCATAAAGCTTGAATATTGCTTCATTCATATGATTTGACGCTTAAACAATACTTCATTAGCCCTCTAGATGCTCCTGTGTGGGAGGAGCATCCTGTAATCCTGCGTTGACTTTTAGCACCAGAAATGGGACTGAACCAGTTGTTTTCCTTTCCCTGCATTGCAGATATACAGAGGACAAGCAAGGATCTGCTTTGATAAAGAGTCTTTCGTCATAAACATTTTTTTAGGAGGTCTCCAAAAAGGATCACAGACTTCCCGTGCAGTCTTCTTGCTCTAGTTATTTGCATGTAGGTGGCAATGTGCACCCTTACAAATGCTATTTAGTTGGTACTATAGCACATGGAAGAATGGTGATGCTGAAATTAACTTGAGACAGCCTTTTAATATTCCGTTTTATGGAGGACTTGGGTATGTCTGTGCTGTGCACGCCCCCACTTACTCCCACTGACAACTACTGACAAATTTGATATGTTCCGTCAGGGTATCAATGTTTAACTGGATACATGTAAAATATTTAGGCTGCATGTCGAATCTAATTGGAGTTCGCTCTGGATGCAGTATGTGTACAAAATAGAAATATTGATGCAATGCCTGGTCTCATGTGAGTTAAGACTTCATTGATTATGAAACACAGTATCACTTCCAAATACCAAGCAGTGTTCCTTACCATTCCCTAGTTTACAGCATAGAGTTAACTAGCGCTCTGCTTTGGGCAGAAAACCGAAAAATTTTCTTGTTTCAGAGGGAGTCGCATAAAGAGGTTGGCTGAATATATTGAGCCAATTGTGCTGTTATCTCCTGTCTGCTTTTGCAGCTGCTCTCTCACCTGACACAAAGTAACAATGCCTTCAATTTTTCGTGAAGCATGTATGTAACCAAGAATCGTGCAAACAAAAACCCCAGTGGTTATACGTATTTCCTTTTATCGACAGCTTTGTTTGGTTCTGTATGTGGGGCTTGAAGCAAAAGCTATGATTAACTGATAAGAGCATGTGAAAGGTTCATTATGTGGCAGATAGAACACATATAACTGAAGCAGCTGGCCCCAAAGTTCACATATATTTCATATCAGTGGTAGCATCGGTAATCATAAGGCTTGGTACTTGGCCAGAAAACCTTGAGACGTGTGCAAAATGTTCTGTAGGTGGTATTTATCGATTGATTGATTGATTGATTGATTGAATTTACACTCTTCTGCCTTTCCTCCCCAAGGAGCTCAGGGAAGCAAACTGGCCATCAGCCTCTTGCTGATGCTGGACATATGCTGCCACAGCATCCCTGACACAGAATCATAGAGCTGGAAGACACATCAAATATTGGCTTGATCAGGAGTGGAAAACCTTCTTGGCCCAGATGGCCAAATCTTTCTCTCTCCCAAACCCTTTGGGCCAACGTGGGTGAGACGTGAGCGAGGCCACTGACCTGTCAATCTGACATCACAATTACTTTAGATGAGAGGTGGGCAGGTGACCCATAGGGGTGAGGGGAGGAGTCTGATTTGCCAGTGCATCCCCCATAGGACTTCAATGGCACCATGGTGCCCACAGAGGCCATGTTGGCAACCCCTTCTTTACCCAAACCATCAAGGCTTACCACAGAAACTTTCAGATGGCTCTGCTTGCTTTCTTTGACAGGTTGCACACAGTCATGTTGTTTCACTGAGAAATGCTATATGATGATTGAAGGGTACTGGTATATTTTATCTTTTGGAGAGAGAAAAACAGCTGGGTGAAGAGCTAGAGCAAACAGACGGGGAGGAAAACTGGCCCTTTCCCCCTGCCAATTCCCCAGTGCCCACAGCTGTTTCACCCGATAAAAAAGCAGGGGGAGGAAATTACGTAACTACACATAATTTCTGCCCTCAGGATGGCGAGAACGATTTTATAGCAAAAGTTCACAGAAATAGAAGAGAGGCAGTATGGGATGTTCTGAGCCATACAACGTATTTTTCCACAGCAGTATGGCTGCACAAAAGCAGGAAGTCAAACAGGATATAAACTATTATCCATGGTATTCAACAGATTACTATTTATATTTAAAAAGGAATAGAGCAGGAGAAGAAAAAAAATCAGTGTTCTATTTTTGTTTTCAAAGACATGTCTGCTTTGCTTATGTCTCTCTGAATAATAATTGAGGATCTTGTGCTCCTAACTTCTGTTCAGTTTCTAATTTGTTGGAGGGGGATAGGAATGTACAAATGTAAAAACCATCTTTTGGTAATTGGGCATATACAAACTGTTCACAAACAATTCTGTGAAACTGACTAGTTTTGTTAATATCTCTTTAACTTGAAAAATGTGCAAAACACCAGTAAATGTTTTGACTTAACAAAATGTGATTTTGTGTGTTCTTAGGAATTCTGGAGGACAGCAAAGCAACTCAGACTTGTACCGGAAAGTCCTCAGCTGCAAGTGGAATAGGTAGTACTGAAAAGAGAGCTCACTGTGGTACACAATGTACAAAACTGACAGTTCACCCCATGGGAACTTCAGCACACAAACAACAAAATGGCTTTAGAACCACAGAGGTAGGTGCAGAACTACATTCCGAGTGACTCCTTGTACACACTGGTATCCTCTTGAAGCTGGGCTAATCCTGTTTCTCCTCAGCTAAAGCCTGTGTCCTTTATACTGAAGTCATACCTTCTAAACTAGTGTCTCTTTTTTAAAGTCACAATGAAGACATTTCTCATATTGCAACGCTCACGACAAAGCAATAACTATTGGGAATAATGGCATGTGTTGAACCTGTTTTAATTAAGGACATAAAGAAGAATCAACTGAATATATTAATACTGCTTTACTGTTATTTTGAAAGCCAGTCATGAGCTGCTTAAGTAAACATTTAAGCAACATTTATCCTATTGCCCACTGGATGTTCCTGTCACATCTCTGAGCCTGCCAAGCATCCATAAAATCCAACCGGAGTGTCTGTGAAGAAAAACTGGTGATTAATCCGATTGAACCTGGTCTAGATCTCATGTTAGGCCCTACTTTGTGGTAGCAAAGTATTGGAGGATGATACAGTCTCAAGATTAGCCCAGAAGCTGGAGGTTTCCCACCCCGCTTTACATTTATACTTCCTTTGAACTTCACTAGTCATTTTTTGTCCATTTGGGGACAATGTTTTGGTTCATGTGGGTCTTTATTATCCTGAACACAACTTGGTGTCATCTACAAACTAGTCCATGTTCCTCCTCATCCCTGACTTCAGATCCATTATAAACAAGTTAAATAACACCAGTTAAACAGAGATCACCTGTGAGTGGTAGGGAGGGCGTTCTTTGTGATAACTTTCCAATTACTTTACTTCCTATTTGCTGAGTAAAAATGCCACTGTATGAACAATTTGACTGGCAATTACTACAAGATCTGTTTGTGATTTCAGGATAGCGATATTGCTAAGTTTTGCTTGTTGTTTTGATTGGAATATTTTGATAATTTTTATTTTACTCTTGTCTTTTCTCCTTGTTTAGGAAATTTACTTCTATGAAACACCTTCTAAGCATCTTGCATTAAACTAATTTACTGTACACTCTTTCTAAACAGGCTAAATGGGACAACAAGAAAAACGTCACAAAAGAAGTCGCTATTAACGCCACCAAAACAATAAGACAAATTAGTAACAGAAGAATTACAAAGAACTGTGTCAATTAAAAGAGCCAAAGGAGAAGATGACTGAATTCTGCAATATTTTGCTGCACTTTAACTGATAACTTAATGTGAAGATCTCAAGATGTTTTATTTTTCATGCTGAATGTAGTGGACATCTGCTGCTGAGTGCCTTTGGAAAAACCGCTATCCTTGCTCTAAACTGCTGCCAGCAATGGACGCTTTTTGTTCTATATTGCCATACTGGTGAGGCTGGGCCAGCAATTAGAACATAATGTGTTTGGATTTTATACATTGCCATTTAAGTAATTAATATCACATAAAAATGTATACCAAAATATTTCAGGAACACTCAATCCCTCATAAATTGCACCTGACACATCTGTTTTTAGGTACATGTGTGAGTATCTGGAGGCGGTTGGAGGATGGATGGCGGCTAACAGATTGAGGTTGAATCCTGACAAGACAGAAGTACTGTTTTTGGAGGACAGGAGGCGGGCAGGTGTGGAGGACTTCCTGGTCCTGAATGGGGTAACTGTGCCCCTGAAGGACCAGGAGCGCAGCCTGGGAGTTATTCTGGACTCACAGCTGTCCATGGAGGCGCAGGTCAATTCTGTGTCCAGGGCAGCTGTTTATCAGCTCCAGCTGGTACGCAGGCTGAGACCCCTACCTGCCCGCAGACTGTCTTGCCAGAGTGGTGCATGCTCTGGTTATCTCTCGCTTGGACTACTGCAATGCACTCTATGTGGGGCTACCTTTGAAGGTGACCCGGAAACTACAACTAATCCAGAATGCGGCAGCTAGACTGGTGACTGGGAGTGGCTGCCGAGACCACATAACACTGGTCTTGAAAGACCTACACTGACTCCCAGTACGTTTCCGAGCACAATTCAAAGTGTTGGTGCTGACCTTTAAAGCCCTAAACGGCCTCGGCCTAGTATACCTGAAGGAGTGTCTCCACCCCCATTGTTCTGCCCGGACACTGAGGTCCAGTGCCGAGGGCCTTCTGGTAGTTCCCTCGCTGCGAGAAGCCAAGTTGCAGGGGAACCAGGCAGAGGGCCTTCTTGGTAGTGGCGCCCTGTGGAATGCCCTCCCACCAGATGTGAAAGAGAAAAACAACTACCAAACTTTTAGAAGACATCTGAAGGCAGCCCTGTTTAGGGAAACTTTTAATGTTTAATAGACTCTTGTATTTTAATATTCTGTTGGAAGCTGCCCAGAGTGGCTGGGGAAACCCAGCCAGATGGGCGGGGTATAAATAATTTATTATTGTTATTATTATTATATGAAAGTTGAGCTTTCATGCAGCCTTTCTGTGGTTGGCACTCCAGTTCAGTTTGCACATCAAATGATTTCCATCCTGATCCTAAAGATGTTCACTACAATGGCTGTGTACAGATTTGCAGGTTCTGTTGTTTATCTCAGTGGCATGCTGGGTGAGCCATATAATAATGGTCTGATTTGCTATACCATATGAGACTTACGATGTAACTGATGGCCAAGGTTTGTGACGGCATAGATAGGTTTAATGTAGCTGAAATACATGTAAGAACTGTGGTACTCTAACTTTGCCTGCTTCTGTGTCATATAGCAGCTTTGCACTGTGTGGCAACGATATGCCTGCAAAAGGGTGAAATATCACTCAGAATTGGGATCTCCCACAACTCATTGAAAAAAGGCGATTGATCTTGTGTCTCCTTTATCACTTATATTTTCAAAAGGAATTTGTGTATACATTTGCTACTGAAGTCTCTAAATTTTAAACAAACAGATTTGCTTTGAAGGAGAGCAAAATTATTCAAATAGTAATCTGAAGGACACAACTTCATTTTTTAAAAAGTTCTTCTGGCCTATAAATTAATAAAATTTATATGAAAAGTTAGTGTTTGGTGTCAAATCTATAGAAAAGGCACTTCAATCACAGATGAACAGGCCATTGAGACAAATAAAAAAATGTAACTAATAAAAATGTTTGTAAATTGTTTGACTTCTTAAAGAAATTGCTTGAGATGAAAATTCAGTGTTTGAAATCTATATTCAGTTTCTAGGCTTAATAACTGTTGGAGGATTGCTTATTAAGTTAAGATAACCATTGAATCATAGAACCCTGTAGAGCAGGCATAGGCAAACTTGGCTCTCCAGATGTTTTGGGGCCACAACTCCCATCATCCCTGACCACTGGTCCTGTTAGCTAGGGATGATGGGAGTTGTAGTCCCAAAACATCTGGAGGGCTGAATTTGCCTATGCCTGCTGCAGACTTTACTTAAGACCTGTCTACTCTCAGAATGATAAATTCAAATTACAACTGTGTGCAACATATATAATTAGGCTGCAGTAAGGATGTTTCAAGAGTGCTTATGCTCAAAGTTGGCAGCTGCAATACTCTCCATGCTTACTTGGAAGTAAGCCCTAGAACGCATGATTCTATGGATTATGTCATATCTGCCAATTTAGAATGTGTGTTTATTTATTGTATTTATTATATACTGATTAATATTTCTAAGCAGTGCAAGTAAAATTACAAAAAAAAAACCATGCATAGAATAACAATTAAAAAATCATAATAAACCCAACACCACTTTAAAATGCCTGTTGAAATAAGAAAGCCCTTGTCATGTACCTGAAGCTCAGCAAGGAGGGTGCCTGTCTAATCTCAGACACACTAGTCATATTTATAATAAAATAAAAATTTAACTTTGTTGGTTGAATAAGAGGGAAATATTCATAGCCTCTCCTTGTCCCATATCTCTGTGATCACCGCTCCCACCAACTTCCCCATTTCTTACTTTAGACTGCAATCTTAAAGTTAGAGAAATTCAGAAATCTACCCCCCAAGGGGAACATGTCCACAACCCATAGTGCACAAATCTACTGCAATGTAGTTGCAATGAGCATATAATAGTTCCTTTATGTATATATGCAGTCTTTGATAATTAATTTCTTCTCCATAGCTTGAAAGTGTTTCTGTGGCTAGCTTCTAATCACCGATGCACAGAACACACTTGACAGACTGTCTTTTCCTATTTTGATTCAATGCCCAGAGACCTGACGAAGCAACTGACTTGTTTGTTGTTGAAAAGGATTAATACTGCAAAGTGGAGGTTTTCAAAAGTGCCAAAATAAAATAATTGGTGAGAAAAGGAAACACAATGAAGTCTCAGTCTGCAGTGAACCGCACAGGAGCACGTGGGCTTTTAAAACAAAACATGCCTTGCGAGAACAGCCAAACTGAAGGGGAGGTTATGGTAGAGAATTTGTAATTATATGAGCATATCCCGGTTGAATGCTGATTAAACTGGACTAGGTTTAGTGTGAAATCCCCTCTATATATCACTATAATGATGCTGTGCTGTAACAGCTGCTCTGCTGACAAAATCATACACCAGGGGTGATGAACCTGTAGCCCTCCAGACGTCATTGGACTACAATTCCCATTATCCCTGACCATTGTTCATGCTGGCTGATGCTGATGGAATTCGATCAAGAACAGAAGGGCTACAAGTTCAATGTCATACACCCCATGTGCAAGGTATGGTAGCTGCTTTTTCTGGAAAACAAAATGGGCAGATGCACAAGTAAATATGGTTCCCTACATGTTTCAAAGGCCTCTTCATGTTTCTTTATAAACACCAGTCCAGAGCAGTTTTTAATGAAGAAGCATTAAACATTTCCATTTTTATATATTCTTAGGGATTCAGCATCCAACCTAACATATTTAGGAAACAAGATTACATATAATATTTCCTCCATGGTCAAAAGAAAACATGGATCACATCCTGCTACAAATAAAATTCACTTTGGCAGGTGGACTATATTACATATATGTAAACATTTGGGGTAATCAAAATGAAAGTGGTGCTATTTCTAGTTTCCTCAAAATGCATTGGGAACCATATGTACTTACCCAACTGTTCGTTTCAAAATGGACATTTTCCACCTGGGGTTGCAAATCCTTGGCCTTTAAGTGCTCTTTATAATTATGGGCAGAGTAAAGTTCCGCAGGAAGAAATAAACATCTCCTCCCCCAAAAGCTATTCCCAAAGTTCCCAGGTTTTATTTTATTCTGCTCCAAAGCGTAAGAATGTTCCTAATTCTTTTCTTTCATCTCTTGGCCAAGAAGGGAGTGTTGTGTTGTGTTCCAAGAGGACAGAGTCACAAGTGAAGTTTCAGCAGGAGAACTTGTTAATTGCTTCTGGCCTTGATCCAGCTCTTAATTGTGCATAACAGCTGGTGGGGCTGGGTGGGGGTGTGCAATGCCAGCTGCATCAAAGGACACATCCACCCATCAGCAGGGCCTTGGTGAACAATGCAATGTGGTTGTGTGATCCAGGTGCGTCCACTATGCACATGAAAGCTTTCCTCAATACACAGATCTCCCTCGTTGGACTGGGACATGCATGCGATGCCCAATGGGGTCTAAATAGTTGCTCCGAGGGCAGACTGTATCAAATGTAATTGCAGTAAACAAAGCAAAATGGCAGTTGGATACTTGCCTGCTACTCCATTGGTGCAGTAATATTAATGGTCACTTGGCTACAATGGCCATGAGAGGCAACCTAGGAATCTGCACTGTCAGATATTACTTTTCACCTCTTTGAATATATCTACAACTCATGCTTAAACTGCTGCATTGTCATTTCATGTGCCCAGAGATGTGTAGCAGTTGTGGCTTGTGACACCTAGACCTGGGAGACGGCACCAAGGAGCTAAAAATAAAAATGCAAAAAAATAGTATCAATAACTGCAACAACAAAAACCCCTCCGAAATATCCCAGCCCAAGAGTGTTCACCAGCCTCAGCTTCTTCTTTTTGAGTCAGTCAGGATTCCACCCTCCCATGCCAAGTGCGAAAAGATCTGCAAGGAAGGGAGAAGGTCTTCCAGGACTCAGATTTCTCCATTATTGCTTGAATCACAGATGACCAGAAAGAGCTTGGTTCCTTTATCATTTTAGTGGTCCGCTGAGCTACTGTTTTTAAAGGGCTATAGACTTACTTTGGCTAAAATGGGAGTGAGCAAGGTTACGGAGCTTGTGTAGTTTTTGCACTTGGGCAAAAAAAATGAGAGGCACAAATACAAGATGGGGGACACCTGGCTTGAGAGCAGTACATGTGAAAAGGATCTAGGAGTCTTGGTTGACCACAAACTTGACATGAGCCAACAGTGTGACGCGGCAGCTAAAAAAGCCAATGCAATTCTGGGCTGCATCAATAGGAGTATAGCATCTAGATCAAGGGAAGTAATAGTGCCACTGTATTCTGCTCTGGTCAGTCCTCACCTGGAGTACTGTGTCCAGTTCTGGGCACCACAGTTCAAGAAGGACACTGACAAACTGGAACGTGTCCAGAGGAGGGCAACCAAAATGGTCAAAGGCCTGGAAACGATGCCTTATGAGGAACGGCTAAGGGAGCTGGGCATGTTTAGCCTGGAGAAGAGGAGGTTAAGGGGTGATATGATAGCCATGTTCAAATATATAAAAGGATGTCATATAGAGGAGGGAGAAAGGTTGTTTTCTGCTGCTCCAGAGAAGCGGACACGGAGCAATGGATCCAAACTACAAGAAAGAAGATTCCACCTAAACATTAGGAAGAACTTCCTGACAGTAAGAGCTGTTCGACAGTGGAATTTGCTGCCAAGGAGTGTGGTGGAGTCTCCTTCTTTGGAGGTCTTTAAGCAGAGGCTTGACAACCATATGTCAGGAGTGCTCTGATGGTGTTTCCTGCTTGGCAGGGGGTTGGACTCAATGGCCCTTGTGGTCTATTCCAACTCTATGGTTCTATTATTCTTTAAGGGCCATTCTAATTTTCTTCACAAAATTCTAGAATTTATGGTTTCCAGAAACATCAGTGAAAAAAGAACCAACAGTTGTGAAGCACATAGCCTTTGCCTTACTTATGGTAATACATAAAAAAGTCAGGGTTCAAAACTGGAGGAGGATAATCACCTTTAAAATATGTTCTAAGAGCCTGCAGAACTATGGAATTTTTTTTGCTGTATCGAATGCAAATGCACATCTTTCAAGTTCTTTGTTTTTAAAAATCAGGTGTGACAGCAAATTCGGCCAAAAATAGGCACAAAATTTCATGTTGAATTGCTTCAGTTTGGTCTCTGCTGTACAGGGCAGTGGAAACATCTAGTTACAGTGTTGCTGCCAAAGGCTACCTATATCCTGGGGATTGGGAATGGATCAAGTCAATCACTTGATCCAGGAACCACACAGAAAGGTACTGCAAGCATATCCCTTGGTGGCTAGTGATGCCACAGCTGTGATTTTTCAGAGATTTAAATCTGGAAAATGTTACAGCTTCCCAGGATTATTGGAAGTTGAAGGGATTTTAATATGCAACTAAAGTGTTTTAAATCAACCTAATAAAATAATTATTCAAGTATTCTTTTAGCATAATTAACACCTTTGAACTGCCCGGTTGAAATACAGGTTTTAATTGCTAGAACACTGTGGAGGATGCCCAACCGTGAAGCTCCTGTTGTGACAAATCTAATGAGAATGGATTTTCTGTTTCTCGTTTCATCACCTCACCAGTGCTTTTTAGAAAAAAAAAACATACCCAAAATGTCAGAAAAATCATATCAAATAAATTAATAGTCTTTTCTGTTGTGTTGGGAGGGGGAATAGATGGGCAAACTATTTCTAAAAAACACACAGGACCAGTTTCCTGTGGTGTTTCCAGATTTTGAAGCAATCTGCTTCCAGCAGTTTCTCAAGGCACATTCATTATTTATTATGCTCATTAAGTAAACAGCTTCTCAAGCAAGGTTTAAGGATTTTATTCAATTCTCTGATGCCCCCCATGAGCCACAGCTAAGATTTCGTGTTTTGCAGATATAGTTCTTATTGTACTTCCTCTGTGTTTGCTCCAAAATTGATTTTAGGATTTGATGCTCTCAGGGAAGGCTTGGGCAGAACGAGACATTATCTTGGCAAATGTGCAGCCCCTGGCTGCGTTTGCTGGCACAATGGGAACTCAAGAGTTAGGAGGAGCAGGGCCGGATTTAGGTTTGAAGAGGCCCTAAGCTACTGAAGGTAATGGGGCCCTTTATATGTCCAGCTGTCCTTTGTCAACAACAAATGGTTGCTGTTTTTTGTGTTGAATATACGCTCTGGTAATTTATAGACCTAATAGGTATTTGCACATAACAAATAGGAGCCTACACAACATAAAACAGTGTTGCTGTATGTAGGTTTTATTTTATTTGTTTTTTTATCTTATATTTTGGAAATGTAGAGTGGGGCCCTAAGCTATAGCTTGTTTAGCTTATATGTAAATCCGGCAGAGGCACTTACAGGGGCCACAGAAAGTAAATTATCTGAGGACTATGGTCATGGCTACTGTTTAAAGCTTAGCATGAAAATAGAAATATTAAATAATATGACAAAGATCTTGATCCAGATACACACATATATTGTCAGAAGCAGCATTTTGTAGTCAGATGTGTTTCCAGCGGCATGTTATAGACCAGACCTGTGTGGGATATATTTTCTATCAGATTATTTATTTACATATTATTTGTTTTCTTTACTGCATTTATATACCACCTTCCTGATAAGGCATTAAAGATTAAGTTACAAAAGACAAAATAATAAAACAGTAGACTTCTGTCAGCCACTGGTGATCTCTTTGGGAGCTGATGGTATGAGATTCCTGATTTGGGCTACTTCTCTTCAACTTTCCTCATATCAAAGTTTTTACGTATGGTATTTCATGGAAAGGCAGATAAGGATCATTGTCAGTGGCTGCTTTGGGAGCAGATAGCATGAACTCGTCACCCTACAATTCTTCTGCATGAATCTTTGATAGTAAGGAGCCTATTAAAATGCTAACATTTTGGCCATCTCTTTATACTGGCATTTAATGGACCAGTGACACCAAATCTTGAAACCGAACATTACATGCAAAAACTGAAGCTTTGGTAATGTGAATCCAATAATCTCTACCAGTTTGCCATAGGAGCTTGAAGTATCAGGTTGCTCCAAGTGGGCGTTAAAACAGAACAATTTGCTAAGTAAGTCTGTAAGTAGCAGATGGGTTGCAAAGTAAGGACAGAATATAATTTGGGAACTTGGTTTGTAAAATGTTTAGGGGATAACCATTCTAGCAAGTGTAAACACTCAGGCAATTCCATGAAAATGTCTACCTACACACTCATTTTTATTTTTCATAGATTGTTAACTTGTTCTGTATCATTTTAAAGATAGTTTTCCTAAGTTTCATTATATGGCAACAGTTTTTCAAAATGGCATATTGCATGTGAGTAAAGCTACCACAAGTGTGACATGCAAAATGACTCGCAATTGCACTGAAAGTGGCTCTTGAGAGCTTTACCTTTACCTAAAAGAAGCCTCTTCTGTAATTTGTTCAGATCCTCAGGAGCTTAAGAAACAGCTGGAGGGTTTTATTGCTATTTGTGTTGAAAAGACAAAATATTGATCATTTCTGTCATCATCTGTGTTGGCTATCTCCCAAAGCAATGTTGTATTGATTGTTCTGTTTCAGAAATCCTGATTTTGGTGTGTGTTTTTAGTACTTCCCCAGCTACAAAACAGAACTGCAAAGCTTTGTCAATACCAGAGTCTACAATATACTGCAGTAAAAGCATTACTTTTCTTTATCCTCAGGTTGTTTGGTTTCATTTGTTTGCTTTGCATGCAACTAGTGTAGATTTTAGCTGTGAGCAAACTCTATATATACTATACTAACTATACTATACTATACTACACTATACTATACTACACACACACACACCTCAATTTTCTTTTTGATTTTTTGTTTTAATTTAAGATACACAATATACAAAGAATTATTCCCCCCCCCAGTGCCATTCCTTGTGTAACCAAAACAGCACCACACACACACAATAGGAAGGTATTGGCATATTTGGGAAAAACTTGTGGTTTGCAGAAGTACTAAAACGCCAGCGGAAAAACCTAAAGGGGAAAAAGTTCTCAAAAACAACTCAGTGAGGACTAATATATTCAGGGTCTGCCTACAAAATACTGCCTGGCTGCTGGAGAAAAGAAAAGAAAAACTGGAGAGAGAATACTATGGGGAAAGTAAATAGGTCCCATTGAGTTTAATGGCACTTACTCACAGGTAAGTGGTTATTGGGTTGCAGCTTAAATGTGACAGAAAAATTGAGTGTCAAAACACAAAAACTGAGTGTCTGTTCAGCTTTGCAGTTGACATTCAGCAGATTTATTAGTGCCACCTACTGGTTCTTTAAAGTTTTTCTATTGAATCTAGAGAAATTAAAAGCAACGCCTAAATGATAAATTGATTAAAATAACATTGGGATTAAATTAAATTATAAGTTTTTTGTTTTGTGTTTTAAAAAGGATCTGCCATAAGGAAAAAGGAGACAAGACTTTGTGGTTGTTGTTTTTTTGCAATAGGCATAACAAGGTATGTAGTTGTACCCAGCTGTACCCTACTGCAGATGTAGATACCCAATAAAGTAGACTTGAGGCTTCACTGTGTTTGTGAATGAAAGGATGTCCATGTGTGAAAGAGTGTGCAGAATAATTCTGAAAAAGAGAGGGAATTGGAGGAAATGAACTCATTTATAGGTAATAAGAGCAAATTAATTGTCTTGGGAGTGTCCTGTTGGACAGAAAACTGGGTTCAGATGAGTGATTTTGTGTTCTGGGACTCAGATCCTGGCTATGCCTTGAGATTATCAATGTTTACAAAATGACAGCCATTTTGTGACTAGCCATGGCAGCCATTTCACAACAGTTTTTAAAATCTCCAAATGTGCCCACAAGTTCAAAAAGATTGGTGACCTATTTCTTGCTCAACTCCAGCCATTAACAACTATTGTAAGAAATGCCACTATTTCTAAGTTGCAATCAAAATAAAAGCCATCAAAACAACAGATAATGCTCCTCTGTTAGGTCTTCATTTTCTCATCCCTACATTTTATTATCTAAACAGCCAAATCTTTTAAAATGGTTTTAGCTACCTAGTAGTGCAAAGTAAGGACTTGCACTACTGTAGTTAAAACATGGTTCGGTTGCTGGCAAACAGGGCAGGAGAAAAATAATATATTTATTGTGATTCTGCAGTTCTATAAATTATCTTGTCTATAAATGTTACAACCATCATCTTACTTGTGTGCATCAGCCCTATCTATACAAGGCCAAGCTCTGTGAGTCCCAAATTGACCTGGGTAAGGCTCTGGCACTGAACAATCTTGTCTCAGTGCCATCACCTTCCAGTTTGTAATTATGTGTTGGAGTGCCTCTTTCCAGATCTCAAAGCACTATACTGATGCTAATGAAGGTTTGTAAGGGTATTAAATAAAATTATTATCATTCACATTTCATAAAGGCACAGAATGGCAGTTGTGTGACTTGCCCAAGGCTACACAACAAGTCTGTGGCAGAACTGGTTGAGCAACACAGGAGCCTCACATTTCAGTTTTGTGGTGATAATTATCGCAACAATGAAAGGAGAGTTTAGCATGCCACTGACCTTTTGGGAGAGGGCTTCTTTGTTCTGTTTTGGGGTATTTTTAACCCACCTTTGTGTCAAAGGTCCCCTAGGTGGCAAATGATACAATAATCACAATTACAATGAAAGGTAACAAACAAAAACTGGGCTAAAATAATGTTAGACTCACAATATAATTTAAACCATCTGGGCACATAAGGGTTTTGCCTGGTTCTAAAATAATGTTAAGGTAGGTGTTGGGCAGGCCTATTTGGGATGGACATCACACTCATTGTATCTTACGTTGCAGAAGCATAAAGAGAAGAATTTCAGATGACTGTGCTGGTGCATAGGGAAAGTAGTGATCATTCAGATACTGAAGTTCCAAGCCATGATCAAAACCAGCACTTTACATGGAGAGTGGGCAGCTCTCCAGGCTATTCTGTCTTTCTCATCCTCTCAGGCCAATTTTTTAAGGCAAAAAGATGAATCAATGAGACATCTTTGGCGGAAAGGGATGAATGAGAACAGCCAGAGGTGGATTTAGGGCGGCATGACTGGTTCCACCACACTGGGTGCAGGGCCTAGGAGGCGCTGCAAGAACAGAGCAGAACAGAAGGAGAGAGGAGGGCAGGGGAAACCCACAAGGCTTGATCCTTTGTACATTTACTCAGAAGTACCGGTAAATCCCACTGAATTAAAATGGATTTACCCCTAGGCCACGAAACACAAGGCTGAACAGTTCATGTTTATTTGTCCTTAAATTGAAGAAGGGGGCTCAACATATTGCTATTTTATTATGTTTTAACAGTGTGGGTTCCCAAAGTTCAAGATATTTTAAAATCTCAAATGTTTTAAATTAATTTCTCTGGCATCCTATTTACATTTGGAACTACATTCCTATTTATCCACACCAGAACTACGGCTAAGATTTCCTTTAGCCTTAGAAAGAAACACTCTCTAGTTTTTGTTAAAAAGTTACGTCGCTCTCAATAGATTTACTTCAAAATAATAATTAATCATAAAAAATAAACGAACAATCGTCTTGATTTCAATGACAAATAGGCATCTTAGATGTTTCCACTTTCCAGTCTGCTGACACCGGGAGCCAACATTTCGCCCAATACCAAGCTGGATTGAAACAAAATGCAGCATGAGGAGACACCGTCGGTGTGCGAGTTAACAGCAAACTGCACTCTGGTATTTTGGCATGCAGGTGAAGAATATCATTTGCCCACCTTTTAAAAAAAACAAAGAAATAGCACAGAAGGAAGAAAAGCTTGTGATCTCGTAGTCCCTCCTCTCCACTAAGCTAATTTCCTACTTTCAGAGGTTTATCTGCCTTTAAAAAAAAAAAGCGGAGGAGCATTAGAAACGCGATTCCTCCTCTCCCGTGGTCATTTCCACCCCTTTTCCCTCCACGAGGGGAAGGGGAAGAGACACCGGTGAGGCGCCGCCATCTTGGCGGAGAGGAGCGAGGGGGAGAGGCGGGAGCGGGGAGGGGATCCGGGTGGCCTGAAGAAGGTGCGCCAGCACCGCCCCCTCGCCCTTCTCACCGGTCGTTCAAATATCGCGCGATTCTTCTAGCACCACCACCTCCCTGTCTCGGCTGGCCCTGCATTCTGTCTCCGAAAGGACCCGTGAGTCCGCGCGGCCGTTGGCGCCCTGAGGCGAGTCCAGGTGAGGCGCCGGCTCTCTGCCAAGCGGCTCAGGTGAGGGACGGGGGCGTGGCTTGGCGCCCAGCTGCCCGCCCCCCCGCCCCCTCCGCTGTGGTTTCTTCCCGTCTGAGGGACCCGACGGGACGGGGTAACGACGACGCCTTGTGTTGGCTTGTGGGGCGGCCGCCGAATAGAGGCAGGTTAGAAAGAGTTTCTTCTTCTGCCCCTGCGCTGAGAAGAAGTATAAGAGGCCGTTTGTTTGGAGGACTTAATTAAATCCGGGTTTTCTGTTCCTCTCTGCGTCCTCAGCATCTTGAAAAAATGCTCCATGGCAGGTAATGCCACTTCGAAGAGCTTTCAGGGCAAAGTCATTGGTGGGCTCTCTCGTTTCAAGTCTTCCCCAAATCCGGGTGAAATAGCTGTATGAGAAAACGGCGTGTGAGTTTTCCAGAGCTTTTCTACCAGGCCATCTCTAAGGTGGTAAAGCAGGGAGGGGAAATGCTGGCTGCAGTTCAAGCTGTGGAGGCATTGTCGAGGAAAGGAAGGAAGGGAGTTGGTTTTTGAGGCGGAGAGAGCCTCGGTAGCTGCAAAGTGTGGGCGGAATCGGGCTTATAACATACCTGTTAGAAGAGATCGTACCTCTCTCTCTATTCTCGTTGTAACGTGAGCTTTCTCCCCTCTGAAATGTCTGCCGTCAGCTTAATTGGTATGTAGGCATCTTTCCCTCTTTTGGTTCATCTGTGCGATGAGGAAGAAGTTTCAGAGCTCTCCAGTCAGCGCAGCAATGCAAACAGTTCTTTTGCAAACCACATTGTAAACTATAAATGTATTGGCTGTATTGAGGGCCCTCCTGTAAACTTGTATGTTGACGGTTGCTGCTTATATGGAAGATGTTTAAATTATATGTTTAGAAGTTATGACTGACCTACATTTTGAAAATTGGGGTGTGTCTTTCAAGTTTCTGATGGTGTTTCTGAGAAATTTACCCTGTGGGGTTTAGTTCTTCGTAACATGTAGTATGTCTTTGTAGCTGCAATCCCAAGTAATCTTCGTTGAATGTAGTGAGACTTACTTGTGAATGAACATGCATAGGCTTGTACTGTGCAGAATAGTAACTGATTATTAGCTGAGCTATCCTGATTGTCACTGCTGTCAGCGACTGATCCACTTGTCTTTTGCCTTGAGGAGGTGTAGGGTAATAATAGCCTACCTTATTTCTAAAAGTATTTGTAAGCTTTTGCCTTTTAAAGTTCTATTTGATGCATTTCAAAGATCTTGAAGCAGTTACAGCTATTGTTAACTGTTCTTTTTTCCTTTACAGTGCGCAAATGGCAGAGTTTATCTTTCAAGTAACTGAGACAGGCAGATGAGAATATGAAGAGAAACAGGAAATCCAGTCTTGCCATTTCATTGCAGTCTCTGAGAAATTAAAAAAGGAATATGTGTTTACTTTGACTGTGAACAAAGTATCCTGTGGAGAAGCTGATCATGACCCAACAGTGAAGTGTGAAATGCCTGGGAAGATGGGTATCTTTGTACTTCTGACTTTGAGCTTAATCTTAAACTTGACACATGGGCATAGCTTATTCACATGTGAACCCATTACTATCCCAAGATGTTCTGGAATGGCCTACAATATGACATTTTTCCCCAATGTGATGGGGCACTATGATCAGCAAACTGCAGCTGCCAGAATGGGGGTGAGTTGTTCTTTCTCTACCGTGCATGCTATAAATATTTTTTCTGTCATATGTACAAATGTGATTCTGTCAGTAAAAAGAATTCTAAGTAAGACATGTTCAATATTACACATTATGAGGAAAAACCTAGTGTTCTGAAACAAGACTTGAAATCGTTACCAAACGCCTAAAAATCATAAAGAGAGAGATGCAGGTACAAACATAACAGTATGGGCATGTGACCAGATTTTAGGGTCTATTCTTACATGGTTTGAGCCTGAAAATTAACAAAAGAGCTCCTACATCCTGTCTGAATAAATGTATAGAAGATCTTCTGTATTACCTTTTTAAATCTTCAAAGTGTTTAGTCATCTGAGCTTCCTGACTGTTTATAGCAGGCGACCTTGTGCTGTATCCCCTCAGGCCACTGGCATCTGCATGCAGTTGGCATAAAAATTCATTGCTGCCCATAAAGTTCTAAAATATGAGATGCATCTCTTCCACAGATCTCCTAACTGGGTATAAAAGCATAGGTGTAGTAACTCCTCAAATAAGTTTCGTTCATTAAGCTAAATGAAATTTGTTCTTGTCTCTAACATACTCCTTCAGTTACAGGTAGGTAGCTGTGTTGGTCTGCCATAGTCGAAACAAAATAAAAAAAATCCTTCTAGTAGCACCTTAGAGACCAACTAAGTTTGTTATTGGTATGAGCTTTTGTGTGCATGAAGAAGTGTCCGTGCACACGAAAGCTCATACCAATAACAAACTTAGTTGGTCTCTAAGGTACTACTGGAAGGAAATTTTTTATACTCCTTCAGACTAGACATTCACAATTGTCCATGGTGTGATTGACCAAACATGCCTGTGAATTAGGGATATAATCTAATTTTTTAAAAAAGAAACTTAACCGTGTGAGTTTGAGTCAATTAATCAATGAATTGTTAGAAGGTGTGTAAATTTCCATGGGATTTTTTTTCTAAAGAAAAATGTACTTTAAAAATATGCATATTTTTCAGCAGGCTGTGTCAGAGAAATTCTTTTTTCTGTCATGGAAGGCAATACCTTTTTTTAATAGTGGTGATTACTATGTACAATGCTTTCCAGTAATTGTAGTGAACATTAATTACAATTTTGAAGCAATGTAGGATGTCTTTTTACTTGATCTAAATATTTTTAATAGTTTGACTAAGCGCATCTGCCTGGTTGCTGATCCTTTCTCTCTAGGTGGTGCAGCTATAGAGCGTTGGCAAATGGAAAAAGCAGACATCTCTCATGTGATCACCTGCACTCTCCTTCTGCATGGTACAGTGGTGAGGAATGAGCCCAATTGTCCTCACCATTCCACCAGCTTTGAGAGCATGAGCATGAAGAGACAATAGGGTCAAGGATAGGGCAAGTGAGAGTTGCCTCTGAATGCCCAATTATCCTCTCCCTCTAGAAGCCTGTACCTGCTCATGCGTTCTTCCTTTGGGTGCTGGAGCAGGAAGAATTAGGCCCAGCAAAGCAGCTGATGTTCTTTGGAGGAGCAGTCACCACTTCTGCTTACTGGGCAGTATTGCGGCAAAAATTAGACCCACAAACCCTGCCATCCACAGGGAGAGTGCTGTTTAGCGAGTGGTTGCTCCTTCCATGACTAGAGGTCTCTGCTGCACTGCCCAGAGAGATGGGTAAGCAAGTTGGCAGAGGCAACTTCTTGAGATTTCTTGCCAAGTAGTACCATGGGCCCAGTCCTCCTCCCTATGACAGTGTCTATACCATGAGCAAGAGAGGTAGTGGGAGCAGCTGCTGCTTTCCTTTGCTTGTGGATGGAGGAGGTGTTGAGGGTGGTTTCTGTGGGCTTCCTGGCTAGGATGTTCTTTCTCCTTCCTGCGCTTCAGCCTCTGCTACAGAGCAGGGGAAAGGAGAAGAGATTGCTGTTTAGTGTTTGCCAGTTCTCCCTAGAAGTTTTAATATGTATGTGTTAGTGTTTATTTTAAACATTAACATTTATAATAAGTCTCCAAAAGCGTTAAACTGTGAATCCCATGTAGACTTTGGATATTTGGAATGATAAGAACACGAGTGAGGGGCACATTGCTATTTTCATCCTTTGCTTCCCCTCCCATTTCACCTGGAAGGAAGATGTGCATCCTTCAACCATCTGTACTGTTGAATCCTTATTCTGATTCTGTCAGACACTTCTAGTTTTGGTGGTATATATTTTGGTGGTATATATTTTGGTGGTGTTTTCTCATATCGAAAGATTTCTAAGCACAAGCAAATATTTGTTTGTGACAAGAAAATTAAGGTACCTGTGCAATTAGAAATTGCACTGAAGCATTCCTTATTCTCTTGTAATATAACCGTGACAAGTCAGTGCATGTAGGAATGGAGAACAAAACTTGATTCACATTCAGTGTTCTAAAGGATATGTCTTCTAATGTTGCAGTTCTAAGCACACTTTCTTGGAGCAATATCCTATTGAAGCTAGAGGCACTTGCTTCCGAGTAAGCTTGCATGGGACTGTGCTGTAAAACAAGACTAAAACACTAATAAGTAGACAGATTTTTAGCTCTGTATATGAGCATCCATCAGAGCTAATGAACAAAGTGATAAGTAAGGTAACATTGAGACAAAAACAAAACAAAACTCATGCTAGATGGAAGTCTAAACAGGCTGTGTAAGGAGCCTCAGCGTCATAGTAAAGTTTTATGAGTGATAAAAGTAAAGTTCAGTGATGGAACTATTGGAAGGGAGTTTAAAAAAAGTAGAAAACATTGAAACTTTGTAATGCTATTATATACAACTATGGTGTACCTGCTTTTGGAATACTTTGTATGCTTTTGGTTGGAATTAGTAGGGAGAGGATTTGAAAGCAGCAGCAAGTACAGCAATATAAAAATATAGTGTACCCACTTTAGAATACTTAGTGCAACTTTTGTATAGTCCTACAAAAAGAACTTGAAAAGGTACAGAAAATGGTAACTATAGTGATAATGGCATGATAATGATGACTCATCCTTTAAAAGTCTTATGTCTTTAGCCATTGTCGTCATTCTCTGATTGTGAGCTTTTCCAGGGTATCCACCTGTCACTATTTGAGAAAACAACAAAAAGTCTTGTAACACCTTAAAGACCAACACATACAGAGAGAGCACATGATGGAAGCATGAAGAAAGGGAAAATTAAACAAGTAGAGGAG